GTATATCACCAGATTTTGACATTATCCAGCTACAATTTGCTGAAAACAGATTAAAGATCGGATAATCCATTCAAAAGCTATTCAATTTTTCCCGACAGTAGATAGAAGTGATCATTATTGTATGTTTTTAATTTCTTTATAGATTATTAGCTTCATACCGGTGCTATTAATGAAAATAATTATTATGTCTATAAATAAGTCACTTGTCTAATTGATATTTGCTTTGTCTAGACAAAGACACTTTGTCTAATATATCATACTCCTACATTAATGACATTGATCTTATTTTGTGGTGTAATTGATTTGGGTATTGTATTAATGATACAGTATTATTGTCGGCTAATTAATTAATTTAAATTTTTATTACTGCATTTTTGTATTTATCATTATTGGGACAAATAAATTTTATGATTAAACTAGCCTCTTTAATAATATTTTTTGAGTTTATGTTATCCCTGGTGTTTATCATCCACTGGTCAGCTACACTTTATCATTAAAACCACGTCCTGTATAAATATTTCAATAATTATTTTATTAGTAACCAAAATAATAGCATATCATTGGTTACTAGATTAAAGGTTAAATTATAAACTAGCTATTAGTACATCCATTTAAAAATTATAATGTTTTATGGCTTATAGATAATGGCATTCATTGAGAGGTTGGGTCGCAAAGGGATTGGATTTTACTGTTGGAAACTATTTCTTATAAATAGACTCAAAGGATATGAGGTATTAATGCAATGATTTCAAAGTTATTTAACTTATATGTTTTTAATTTCTTTATAGATTATTAGCTTCATACCGATGCTATTAATGAAAATAATTATTATGTCTATAAATAAGTCACTTGTCTAATTGATATTTGCTTTGTCTAGACAAAGACACTTTGTCTAATATATCATACTCCTACATTAATGACATTGATCTTATTTTGTGGTGTAATTGATTTGGGTATTGTATTAATGATACAGTATTATTGTCGGCTAATTAATTAATTTAATTACACTACAATAACCTTAAAAATTATGTTTTTATATAAACAACTTTGTTTATCAAAATTATTAACAATTAGTATTCTAATTATTGTGTAAATTATTTAATTCATTATACTATTTATTCATATTTTAATTTAATTCAAAACCTGCAAAGTATATCATTTAAACAGCAATAACATATCCTAAAAATGTATAGAAATTAATTAATAATACAGACATAATTAAAAATATTTATTACACTCATTTGTTATGTAACCTTAAACCTCGATGTAATCACAAGAAACAATGAATATGATATAATATTTGAAACACAATAGCATTTTATCTAATTGAAGTGTTTACTTTTATATTTATCAATTTATTTTTGAGAATTATTATATTGTATACTATACATACATTAACCTTAAGGATTAAACATAAATCAAAATTATTAAAGTAAAACTAATTTTCTAAAACATCAGCACAAAATAACGGGCTTAACATCAAGTATTAAATCCGGGATTTTACAATTACAAAAACTATATAAAGTCGTATTACATAAAAGATAAAATTTTAAAACTTCCCTGATTCTTACTCAAAAGTTAAATAAAAACATCCACTATACCAAAATGAAATACTTATTAATCATTGCCATAACTCTAATTGTATCAAGTAAATAAATAACTATATAAAAAATGCCTAAAATAAAATAATTTAACTTGATAATATTGTAACCCATAGCGAGTGCGTTCCCGGTGTCGGACCCCGAACTTGAAAAACTTAAAAAGGATTTAAGCGCTCGCGTGGACGCCTTGGATAAGACAGTGGACAGGGATGTACAGCATTTTGAGACCACTAAACTAAAGGACTCGAGTGAGCTCAAGGAACTTAAAAGCACCAAGAATGACCTTGCACAGTTTAGAGTAGATATCAGTAAGGCACAGATTGCAGAGCAATTGGAACCGGTAACCAGGAACCTTGGTTATTTGGAAAAGTGGGAACCAGAATGGGTTGACAAGATGGAGAAAATGCTTCACCCACCACAATAAGCTCAAGAACAATTGGGTGTACTTAAATATTTAAAGTGTAAAAATTAAAATGAATAAATAAAAATTTTTATTTACTGTTTATAAATTTGTAATTTCTTATTTTTAAAATATTAATTTAGATATTTTATATAGAGATATGAAGTTGAAATAACTATTAACTTATCAATATATTAGCGTATTCTGGGTTTATTTTAGTTTTTTAATCTACATAAAACTTAAATATGTAGAAAATATCAATATATTTGTTTGCTAACATTTACTTAACTCCTTATTATCAAGTGGGCATCAATTTATCTAGAATTAATTTCTATAGAAAAACTAAAATAAATAAGTAAATCATAAATTTAAACAATACCAGTAATACCTGTATTAAGATAATAAGGCATTTGTATTGTCTATTCTATTTTGTACTACAGTTTTCCAATTTCTTATATAATAATATTACAAACTATGTGTGCAATCATTATTTTTAAATGTTTTAATGCCAAGAATCGATAACTGTATTATCATGTGATTATTTCTTGAGTTATTGCTTTCAATACAATAAATAAAATAGAAAAATTATTATTGATTTTAATTATTTAGAAAAATAAAACAAACAATTCACTATAAACTCTATAACAAACAATGAAAAAATATATAAATACAGAATTAGACAACATACAAAGTCATTAGATATACCGTAAAAACATTAGTAATTTGTTGAATTTACTTTATACTAACTTTATATTTACTTATATCGTACTTTATAATACTAGATATTATTGGATATTATACCTTTACTAAAATAAATCATAATGAAATACATAATAAGCTTTATTTTTTGTTTATTTGTAATAGGTAAGATTTTATAATTTGTTAAATTACAGTACTATAACTTGTAATCCATTTCAGCGAGTGGTGTCCCGGCACCTGGAGATACCGAGTTTGATAGACTCAAAGCCCAACTAACAGCCCGTATCAACACACTGGAGGCGATAGTGGAAAGGGATGTCAAGCGCTTTGAGACAACTATCCTAAAGGACTCGAGAGAGCTAAAGGAGCTGAAAGACAGTGAATCAGAGCTAGCTCAGTTTAAAGTGGACATGGATAAGGCTAGGACATTAGAGCAATTAGAGCCTGTTCAAAGGAACCTGGTTTACCTAGAGCATTGGGAACCCGAATGGGTTAAACGTATGGAAAAGATGCTACCACCAGTGTCATTTTTATAATCGAGATTTGTTTAAAAACTGTATAAATTTGTTTTATGTATTTAAAACGTTTTAAAATGTTATTTTTATTTTTATTTGGGTCTATTTGTTTAGCATTATCTAATATTTTTTCTTTTGAAAACTTACATAATGATAACAATAACAATATGATCCGGTATAAATTAAAAGTTTTAATTTCTTAGAATTTTTAGTGATACTGTATTTAATGTTTATAACATATCATCCTATAATTATATGTTAATAACAATAGGATGTATACAAAATAAACTTCTTATTTATCACAACATTATCATGTCTTATGATTTAACGATAATAAGCATTAATATATTTATCACCGGGAACACTTTATGTTTTAAAAGTTAAGAGTTTGCTAAAAGTTCTATTAGAATCATTGAAATTATAAACATTTTGTATTAAATAACATAACTTACAACTTGTTAGTGTAACAGTATAATGTGTAACAATGCTGCTAATTATCATTACATATTATTAATCGAAAATAATATGTAATGCACTTACAATAATACACTGACAGTACTATTAAAAGTACATTTGTGAGTTAAACATGAGATCCGCATTTCCCATACATATTCCTATTATGTTTTATCACTGATCAGAATACGTGTTTTTAATTTTATCAGGGATTAAAACAATTGAAAACATATAAATACAAATCAATTATTGTTTAACTTATATCATTTTGATATAAATAGCCTACTTACTGTAAAACTATTGTAATTACTTACAGCAACTTAAACTATGAAATACACTGTGATTTTTGCCTTGACCCTAATTGCCGTCGGTAAGTCAATAATAATTAAAAAAAACAATTTAAATACTAAACATATTGCAACCAAACGGACAGTATGCGCAGCACCGGCGCCCGATCCCGAGTTTGACAAACTCGTGGCTGATTTGACTCAACGTATTGACACACTTGAGAAGCAAACTGAAGCCGATGTCAAGCATTTCGAGGAAACAAAACTGAAAGACTCGTCAGAGCTAAAGGAGTTGAAAGGATCTATAAGTGATCTTGAACAATTCAAAGTGGACATGAAAAAGGCCACCACTGTCGAGGGCTTGGAGCCAGTGGTAAGGAACCTTGGTTACCTGGAAAAATGGGAACCAGCATGGGTGCAACACATGGAGCACCTAATACCACCTCAGTAAATTATATTTAATTATAATTTATAACTGTTGTATCTTTAAGTAATTTATTAGTAAATAAAGTTTGCTTTATAATATGATATATTAAATTTTTTGTTATAAGTTAAAAAATTAATTTTATTAAAATAAACTGACCATTACTGGTTGAACCCTATGCATTTACCAAACTATATTGTATACTGTAGATTATACTGTTCCAAAATTGGCCAGCTGGCCATTTTTTAGTACATTTTTATTGGCCTATTGGAAATCAGTTCACAAACATAGTGACAGAATAGGGTGTGTGAGTATAAAATAAAATAAAAATATTAGTTATAAACTGTAATTATGAAAATTGGCAATAGTTTTAACACATTTAAGGTTAAAATAAAGTTACAAGTTATTGATATTACAATAAAATAATACCATAATATATGTTTTTAATATATCAAATAATTATTCATTAATTAATTTAATATTTTCAAATTAAAAATATTAAACCCATAATTTTTATTATCTATTATATAACACAATAAAAGTGAGTAATTAAAGGTTTTGTCACAAATTCCGTGTAATTGTCTATTTGTCTAAGTTTTTATCCACTGTAAATAAAACTTGTCTGTTAATAAACATATGATAAGTCGTGTTTGTCTTTATTATATTGTTGTGAACAGCATGTTACTTTATATAAAATATTATTTTTAATAAATAATTTCTTGTGAATAAATAAAATAAAATACTTTAATAATTTTAGAAACTTATAATATGATTTTCTTTAACATATTTATTAATATTAATACTCAATTAATACAAATAATTTAATAGTTAATAATAAAGTAATTGTATATATCTGACAGCAAACAACATACAAATTTGTAAATCATAAATACACCACAACTTTACTAATAACCTAAACAACAACTTCCGTTCAAAACAACTAAATCAACACAAAATTAACGCTAAAAACGTATGAATAATAGACTGGAAATAGTAACATGGTATATAAAGACCTGACATTTATTTAAAAATCATTTATGTTTTAACTCATTCATACATTTTCTACATACATAAACTACATTAATGATAAAATGTTAAGACTAATTTGTACTCTGACCCTGTTCATATTGGTGGTTCATTTGGGGCCCGTATTATGTCAAGTGATTAACACCGGTATAGACCTAATGGACGCACACGACGACCAACTCATCAATTCATGCAAAAGTAAAATCTATTCCGATGTAAATGAATGTATGAGAGATGTCCACTGGGATCAGTACCCTGATACAACCACTGACCAGGGTAAAAGGCACTCCTGTTGTCGTTTATGGGAAACATTTAATTGTACGCTTAAATATACGGTATGTAGTGTTAAATTTGTATAAATAAAACTTATGTTATTATCATGTTATTGTTATCAGTATTTAATACTTAAACACCTGTTAAACAATATTAATGTTAAATATTTTTTATTAAATTATTTGTTATATTTTTAAAATTTTATTAATAGGGGAAATGTACATCAGAGGAGGCGAGCAAGGTACAAATGTTTTATAACACTGAAATCACCAGGAACAATGCGCACAATTGTATTGATTATCAGTACGGCACCAAACAGTGTAATTCCGGATTTAGTGCTAATGTTAATTTTGCCTTGATTATTTCACTTGCAATATTTTATACAATTTGTAATCAAAAATAATTTGAATTTATAAAAAATTATACAAAAAATATAGCTTGATAAAACTGTTATGTTTTATATTAATTTAATGTTACGCGTAATATACATGAGGGACTAATTCATCTTGTTAATTTTAAAGAAAGGTTACTTATATTTTGCTTTATGTGTGTTAACTATTTCACTAATAAATATAATGATTGACAAAATAAATCCAAACAATAATATAATGAAATCATTTTGAAAACAATCGTTCAAATCAATAGGCTTTTTAAAATTATTTTCGCTATATGTTATATTTTGAAATGAACCTTGTTTACTATTCCTAACCTTTTGTAATGCACTAAACACTACACGGTTGTGATAATCGAGTCCAGTTTGGATAATTTGTTGATACCTAAAAATAAATTGAATATAAACTTTACATTGATTATAATCATTGCATAACTTTTCACTAACATAAATCTCATTTCCCTTTTAACTTCTGAATCCCTTTGCAAAGCATAAAACCAATAGTTATGAAAGTATTTATGCTTGCTTATTGTGAATTTATCAGTATACTTCGTGAATAATTGCGCAAATAAACCAGCATGAAAGCTATTAAATACTATAATAGCATGTCCATTAATTACTTGCTCAAATATTGATACTTCAAAAATACTATCCCGATTAATAGTTTTATTAAATGTATGTTCATATTTATAGTGCCTGTCTCTTATATTTGTTAAAACATCATGATATTCTGGTAATGATGATGAATTAATAAACAAATTAATACGACCAATATCAGCAAGGACATGAAACTGCTTATTACTAGCTACATCAGCTAATGTGTTAACCATGGGAACAAATCTTAAATTAAAATACGTGTTCAATAAAACAGATGAGAATGATTTTGTGATTATACTGGCCATAAATAGCCAGGTAAATATAATTATTAGTATTAAACGTTTATTAGAATATAAATGTTTTAATTCAACAAAATTTGTGAAATATTTGCCATTTTGATGTACCAGTGTTTTAAAAACCAATAAATAGGCCATGGTGAAACTTAAAATTGACTTATTGGTAAATTTCATGAGTATTATTGCCATAAATATGGATAGCACCAAGAGTATAATCCATATCTATTAAGTAAATTGTTGTAATTAATTAATAAATAAGTAAATTAGTTTAAAAAGATAATTAATACCTTATAATCAAAAACATTCATTAAATTTAAGTACGAATTATATTTGACTGTATTGATTGCCGTTATAATAACCAGGTCAAAATACTCCTCTGAAGCAATACCATCAAGGCCGTAAGAAAATAGGATTGATGGAAATTCTCCCATAAAATAGGTCTTGGTAAATGTTTTTAAATTTTCAAACATTATATTTATTTGTATGTGTCAGGGAAAGCCAGACAGATTCAAGTCCCAATGCAAAACATTACAATAAATTATGGGTCAATGTTTTAATAGAAATATTTACGAAACTGTAATTTTATAACAATTATTTTATTCTCTATAAATGAATATTAATTCAAAATCAAATAATTTTATTGAATTACAGTTTGTAATAAATCTAAATTTGTAAACATATAAGTATGAATTGAATAAAATGTAGGAAAAATTTTGAATGTTTAAAATTATATTCCTTGTATAACATTTTTGTTAATAGTGATCTGGACAAATCATATACCAAACAAAACCCTAACTATCCAGTTACAATTTAGTGAATAAATGGATAAAATAAACAAAACGATATTAAAAGAAATTAAAATCAAAGTAGCATAGCCATATTTTGGCCGCCCTGTAATATACTAGTATAAAGTAAAACTTACATTTGTTGATTGAAACCATTTTTGTACAAATATAATGGGTCTGTTTAAATTACACACAATATATTGTGAAATTGTCAAATATATACCAAAAACGTCATTATTCTAAAATAGATTAATTATTTTTAAATCATTATAATGCGAGTTAGACAATTAATATATATAGTACCGGGTACACTATATAAACAGGGTTTACATAGCTATTATTGCTAGACACCTCATTACAATAAAATGCTTTATTATGAGTAATTATTGAATAAGGTATAAATGAATAGAAAAAATTAATTTTAAAATACATTATAAATATATTTTTATGAAAAATAATTAATTTTTATTTGTTAATATTCTAATTTATTATATTTTTAAAAAATGTTTACTACAAAATTATTTTGGCTATAACATTTTATGTTAGCATTAATTATGGGCTGTTAAATATAATCAACCGTAAAAATTAATTCATGTATTGTCATATGTTGTAAATTATAAACAATTATATAAAATTATGAGTTATTAATTATTGTATTTATTTGTGACTTCAATATTAAATATAATTTTTCTAATAAATATAATTAAATATAAAAGTTATTTATTGATAACAGTTTTATCCAAAATATATAATATTGAGTTTATTGTCATTACTAATGACTCATTAGTATTGATTAACTGCTTAAATCGGCAAATAACTAGCTGTATTAAAATTTTAAAAATATGTTATTGAAATATTTTTATCTTGAAAATTACATTATATTTTAAAATAATGTTTTAATAAATGTAATAAATTATTTAAATGATAAATATTTTCAGAAATTAATAGTATAATGGAGATTACAAAACCAAATAATAATAAAATAAAATTATTTTGAAAACTATCATTTAAATCAATAGGCTTTTGTTTGCTAGTATCATCATAATTAATTCGCGAGTTGGGACCTTGATTACTATTTTTAGCCCTTCGCATTACGCTAAATATTACCCTGTTATGATAATCATGACCAGTTTCAATTATTTGTTTATACCTATATGAAAGTAAATTAATATTAAAAGCATTAATGATATTGTATAACATATTATTTTATAATAATAATATAATTACATAAACTCAAA